GGAGGTGGTTCAAGCACCTACACTGAACACCTTCAACAGCAATTTGGATGCTTATCTTGCTGGGATCCTATGACCCCAGCTGACTTCCTGCCCTTTGGGTGGAGGGCTGGATTTGATGGTCTTCCGAGGTCCCTTCTGTCAGGGAATCGCGCCCTAAGGTCACGGTGGGCCAAGGGTTTGGATCGGATCGAACAGGCGGGATTAGCAGCGAGGAGTCTGAGCAGTACAGGACTCGTGCGGTTTCAAATAAAGTTGATTTATTTTTGACTTACACTACTGGGGAAGCTTGCTTCAGTTACAGTATACGAACAACGAAGGGGTCTGTTGGTCCACGGGGTTCCTGAGTGAGCCGTTGCTTTCTACCCTGAAGGATAGGTGAGGCTACCCACTCGATAGTCCCAGGACTGGTTAACAGCTTATTGATTGGGATGACAAACAACAGAACTGTAACACGGTGAACAATGTAAATGACGTGATGCCAATCCAACTTGGATGAACAGATGGTTGAAGATGGTGCCGAGGTCGATTGTAAGCGATGTCGAAGCAGAGGTAGGCGGGGTTGAACAAAATTGCAGTCAGGGTTGATGCCAAAAATCAGTCGGTAGCCAAAGGAATCAATACGAAAACGAATCGGATTGATCCGCAAAACCGCAGCGAGGAGATCATTGGGCCAGGAAGCCCTGCTGAGGAGCAGTCCCTGTGGGAACAGCCTCTGCTCTCAGCTTGGATCTCTCCCAGTGAGACAGTCCCTTCCAAGGCAGCCTCTGTTTGCCAGTTGAGCAGGTCTCTCTCCCCCTGTCTCTCCAGTCTCCCCAGTCTCCCCTTGGGTGAGGGGCTCACAAGTCTTTTAAGGCAACCAGGTAGCCAATAAGGTTGCTTTTCCAAGAGAAATTTCTAGTCCAATTACGTCATTCTGTGTGTGAGACTGAGCATGCGTCTGATCAGATTACCTCATGTTCTGTGTGAAACTGAGCATGCGCCTTGTTACAAAACTAGATCAGCTTTGATTGACAAGCCCTAGGGTCGCACAGGGGGCACATGCTGAGCATGCTGTGGAATTTTCCATAGGCCTTGTCTGCTTGTCGGTGCATGATCAAACTTAACTCTTGTGTTGCCAGCATACACTTAAAATTTGGTCCGGACACCTTCCAGCCCTAATGTCTATGAAATCTATGAAGTCTATGAAAATATGATGCCTGTACGTGGTCTTAGTCTAACTAAAATCTTTGAGCCTAAAACAGGATATTTGAGTAAACAGAGTTTTCTGGGTGCTTTAAATTCTGGAGAAATTTAGGTTCAAATACAAGCTTTATTGTTTGGCCCATCATCTCTAAGTGTGAGTCATTAATGACTGACAAAAAACAAGGTCAATATTTTGATAAAGAATATCAGTTGGGAGATCTATCAAACAGTATGCTTCTGTATGGGAGAAGGCAGCTGTCCTCCTTAAAACCACATCTTCCTTGACCAGGGGCCTTGTGCTCAGGTAGCACCTAGGCTGTCAGTGACCACTGTTCACTATCCTGTCTTTTTCTGCACGCAGATATATAGGCTAGTGATAGACATAGAGGTAAAGTCCCTTCTGATCATATAAGCCTCCTTCAGAGGCACTGGGTATTGGCTACAGCCAAGGTTGGGAACTTTGAGTTGGGTGTGCTAATGTTCCTGATGAGACCAAAACCAGAGGTTCCTGTCTGCAGGGTCTTGCCCCTCTGCTCAGAATCAGTCTGATCTCTGTATCTCGGGTCAGGAAAGTATTTTACCCCATACACAGATTGGTATGGACTGTGGAGGGTTTTGCCTTCCTCAGTAGTAGGGGTCATGACTCTCTATCCATGATCTCTTGTGTATATCCTGAATACATTTCATAGAAGCATTAGCTTCCCTGGTTCACCTGCTTTACCTCTGGCAGGTTAGGGTGTTATGTCTGCATTATGTCAAGGCTGAAAGTCTTATTTAGGGATGGTCCTGCTTTGATTAGGGGGTTGGAGTAGATGATCTCCTGATTTTCTATGAGTCTGTGATTCTATGTAATTTAAACTATGTAGAGTTTAGATTATGGATTATATAGGATAGTTTGGATAGGGATGATCCTGCCTCAGGCATGGTATTGGACTAGATGACCTCTGAAGGTTCCTTCCAGCCCTACTTCTCTATGATTCTGTGATAACCTCCAGGGAGAAAACCTTTCAAACTGATGAAACCTTGTGCACGAGACACCTGAATACACGTTGTTCACTGACTGGTCTGTATTTGTTTCAGAATGCTAAATACTTGGGCCTTTCATCTCTCCCGGTCACAACTGCTCTCTATAAATATTAATCCTCGCTTATCTTTTATAGCACTTAATGATTATGAGATGCCAGCTCTAATTTGTAAAGCACATGCACATTTGCATACTGTATAAAAATAATCTTGGGTCATAAAGAAAGAAAATATTTATAGCTATACCACATGATCTGCTGAACATGATTGCAAAACAATCACTTCATCCTGGAAAATAAACTTGTTTGTATTTTTCTTTACTTCTCTTTATAAGTGAAGTTCATTTAACTTGTTATCTCTCTATGGTAAGGTAAAATATTTGTTTCTACCCTGAGCCTCTACCAGTCATAAGAATGCCTTTCCCACATTTTCCCCTTATTCTCACTAGCCTCAAAAGCCAAGGCAATTTGTTTCCAGCACTGAGGAACCACAACTAGATGTGGGGATGGCCACCTACACTCTGTTGGCCTAGTCCTTGCTCACTGTACTTCAAAGGGCTGTCTTGGTATACTTAAGAGAAGCCAGACAACCCTGGCTAGGGGAGAAGGAGCAGAGTGGATTGAATGTAAGATGATACTTTAGTCCCTTTCTTCTCATAACTGTACTAGGTATAATTTGGGGGGAAGTTTGCTGGTAAAAAGCTTGGGATTTCTTGACTACCTGCTATTTTGTCTCATGCCTGCTCCCTTCCTCTCCTCTGTTACATATCTGAGATGAGTGGGAGGCTGCTAGTATGCGTGGGAGGGCACTTCATTACAGCAGGATTTCTTGCTGCTTCATGAGTGAATGGTGAAACAGTAAAAGAAAAAGCTCCTACGCATATCAGTGGGAGTTTCAATAGAGTTACCAACATGAGAAAATAATGATCTGGACACCTACAGACTAGGTGACACTTGTGACACTCAGATTCACCCTCTGTGGAGGGCTTCTGCACTTGGGTATTTCCTGAACCATGAGAAAAGAATAATATCTTCAGTGCATTGGTATTGCCATTTTCTTAACCTCCCCCCCCCCAGTGTTCTTCATACAGCCAATGACAGTGTGGAGTGAAGGATAAGAAAGGCAGGACAAGATCCTAGGAAAATAAGGCTGGAAGGATCTCACAAGGTATTCAAGTTCAGCCCCCTGCTCAAGGCAGGATCCTCCCTGACTAAACCATCCCAGCTAAGTATCTGTCCAACCTTCTCTTGAAAATTTCCAGGTATCCTATTCCAACGTCTGACCACCGTCATAATCAGAAAGTTCCTCCTAAGTGTAGAGCTATGTCAGGCTAATACCCCTTCAGCATCATAGGAAAATCACAAAAATGGTTGAGGAATGGCCACCTCGCTTCCATGTTGTAATTTCTTTGGGGAAATTACAACACATGAAAGTCCTCAAAACATGATTGCAAAGCAGGGACTGTGGGGATGCTGGAGATAAGCAAAAGGGAATACAGGTCTACTCAATTCCCAAGGATTGGTGGTATCTATGAGCTAGATGTGTGGCCTGTTCCACGGAGAGGGGAAAACTTTCTTCACAGTAGCAGTAGAACAATGCAGGGGAAATTTCACAAAACCCCTAAGCTCTCTCCTATGTATTTTTAGAAGGAAACAATCAGACCCCAGAAGCCTGTAAGCTAACTAGATGCCAATATTATGCTTATCAGCTACTCTTTATAAGGTTTTTTTTAACAGTATATGAAGCAAAAGGCATATTCCCCCTTCCTTTTATGTGCATGTCTCTCATTGACATTAATGCAACTTACAAATACACATCAAGAAGGGAGTAGCTGCCTTAGCATCATTGTTATGATGCTATTAGGATGCAAAATGATGGTGGAAAAATGTCAATGCAAGTCTTTGGAGACCTCATCCAGTTGCCTTTATGATGTAGTATAACTGCCATCATTGCCCAAATGATGAATCCTGGGAGACCTTACTAGGACTAAACTAGTGAAATAGAATATAATTTGTTCCTCTTTTGCACCTCGCATTATACTAGGTATCACAAAGAAACTATTTCATTTCATGCATTGCATTTTAGCAGTGATGCATGCATGTTCTAGTGCCTGTTGCTCCTTAGTGGCTCTTGCTGTTATTGAAAGTGTCATCTGCATATATAGCATGAGAAATGTTCCCAGGGAAAATATTGATGACACTTACCAAGTGTTGTTGAAAACAACAATAGACTGTACTGAAGTCTTGGCCAGGATATTTCCTGTGTTACTTTTGAAAACTACTGTAAGATTTAAGCTTCCATTTATGGGGAAAAAAAACCCATATGTAGAGACAGAAGAAACTTAGGTTTATAATTTTGTGTGAAGGATAATACCTCTATTACAGCAGCATTCCTCCAATATTAGCTTTTAGATTTGTTTTTAGATTTTAGCCAATGCACATGAGGGAACCTGAACAAAATCTTCTGGCTGGGTTAAGGTACTACCAACAGAGATTATGGCCTGTAACAGGGTCCCTCCATAGGGGTGGCTGTGACATCCCTGGAGCCTCTGCTCAGCCCTTATCATCTCTGCTTCCCCTTCTGCTCATCTGGCACCGCTTGGTGTGCTTTTAGAAAAAGGAAGGCTGCCCCAGGGCTCCCCAAGTGAGATCTAATATTCTTGAATGCAGGTGTCACTGCTCATCACCTTAAGGGCTAATTATGTACCCTCCTCATCTCCCCTTTTAGCCATGCCCGAGACATGTAGATGCCATCAATTGAGCCCCATTGTCCAATCCAGTCAGTCTTTTATCCATGGACCTTTCCCCAGTGTCAACTCCAGTGAATTTGGGCCTCTAAGCTTGGAGCAGTCTTCACCACTGTTGGGGCCACTGGCCCCAGTGCCTTTAACTGTCCTGGCCCCTTGTGGGCTCAGGCCTCCATCCCTCAAACAATCTCAACTCCTCCTGGGCTTTAGCTGGCATTCTCTGCCCATCCTGGGCTCAGGCCTCTGTCTCTTTAACAGTACTTCCAACATGTTCCCAGCCTCTGTCCTTTGCCCCTCCTGGGCTACTGGTCTCCTGGTCCTTCTTGTTCTCACCCCCCATTGGCTATGAGGTCCCCTGACCCTGGTTCTTGCCACTCACATGCTACAGGTCCCTGATGTTGATTCTCACCCCCATGAGCTACAGGTCCCTGACCCTGTTTCTTGCCCCCATGGGCTATGGGTCCCTGACCCTGCCTGCTCTCCTCATTCTGCAACTATGGCCCTATTCCTTGTCTTTGGCCCCTATCACTTGGGCTCTTGCCCCATTCCTGGGTCAACTGAGATCCTACCACCCCTACAATCTCAATCCATAGAACACCAGTCTTGCGTACCCCAGATGAGGTGTTAGTCAGGAGCCTTGCTGCAGCCCTTCTACTCCAGAGCTCTTCTCTCCATGGTTTCCAGGTCAAACTTCCTCCCCAGCTCAGGCCCTGAGATTATATCACAGAATCATAAAAAATTAGGGTTGGAAGGGACCTCAGGAACTTATCTAGTCCAACCCTCTGTTCAAAGCAGAACTAGATCATCCCAGACAAGGTTTTGTCTAGGTGGGTCTTAAAAACCTCCAAGGATGCAGAGTCCACAGCGTCTCTGGGTAACCTGTTATAATGTTTTGCTACCCTCCTTATATCTAACCTAAACTTCCCGTGCTGCAATTTTGGAACATTGATAGTTGTTCTATTTTGTGCCACCACTGAGAACAGTCTAGCTCCATCCTCTTTCTAACCACCCTTCATGTAGCTGAAGCCTGCTATTCAATCCTCTCTCAGTCTTCTCTTCTTCAGACTAAACAAGCCAAGTTCCCTCAGCCTCTCCTCAGAAGTCAGATGCCCCAGCCCCCTAACAATTTTAGTTGCCCTCCACTGGACTATCTCCTATGTGTCCACATCCATTCGTAGTCAGGGGTATCAAACTAGATACAATACTCCAGATGTGCCCTCACCAGTGCCAAATAGAGGGCAAGAATCACTTCCGTTAATCTGCTGGCAATGCTCCTACTAATGCAGCCAGACTGTTAGCCTTCTTTGCACCAAGGGTAAACTGTTGGTTCATATTCAACTTACTGTCCATTGTAACCCCCAGGTCCTTTTCTGCAGAACTGCTGCCCAGCCAGTCTATACCCAGCCTGTACTGGTGCATAGGATTGTTCTGTCCTAAGTGCAAGACTCTGCACTTGTCCTTATTGAACCTCATGAGATTTCTTTTGGTCCAATCCTCTAATTTGTCTGGGTCTCTCTGAGTCCTAGCCCTACCCTCCAGTGTATCTACTACTCCTCACAGCCTAGTGTAATCTGCAAACGTGTTGTCTATGCACTCTATCCCATCTTCCAGATCATTGATGAAAATGTTAGGGTAACACTATGTGGATTTTTGGGGAGCATTGAATCTGCAGCTGAATACAGAATAGCAGAACACAAGGCAGAATGATAGCTAAGCCAGCCATTTGCTTATGCTAAGTAAACATCTTAACTGTGTTAACCA